AAGGGACTGTGAGAGGCATGGGAGCCACTGCTCCCCACACCTAACTTCCAGGCTCCCAAATCAAAGAGAAACTAATTCCCCAAATCAGGTAGGCAGTTTTTCTCTTTTATTTTATTAGTCTTCTCCATACTTTTGATAATACCTCTTACTTTTTACACAGACTTTTTTGTTGTTGTTGCTGTTTTTTTGTTTGTTTGTTTGTTTTGCCTGCAGCAGCCTATCATTCCATCTCCAGGTCTCTGGACAGTAAAGGACATGGAGGCAGGAGCACCGCTGTCCCTCCACCTCACTTCCCAGATCTAGCCCAAGACACACCCAGTCTCTCGTAGTTTTTCTCTTTTTTCTTTGCTCTTCTCCATTCTTTTGTTAATTCCCTCCTCTTCCTTTATCCACAGACTGTCCTTTTTTTCTGTAGCTGCAAGTTCCATCTCTAGGCCTCTGGACAATAAGGGACATTGAGGCAGGGGCACCACTCTCACCCCCCCACCTCAATTTCAGGCTCCCCTGCCCAAGACTCACCCAGTCCCCCAGTAAGTTAAGTAGCTTTTCTTTTTATTCTTTGCACTTCTTCATTCTTTTGTTATTGCCCTCCTCTTTCTTTTCCCTTAAAATATCCTTTAATTATTTATTTTTCTGCAGAAGCTTGAAATTCCATCTCCAGGCTTCTGGACAGTAAGGTACATAGAGGAAGGTTAATCACTGCCCCCTAGCCTCACTTACAGGCTCCCTAGGCTAAGACCTACCCAGTCCCTGAATCAGATGGGCAGTTTTCTCTCTCTCTCTCTCTTTTTGTTGTCCTTTGGTCGTCTCCTTTTTTTTTGGTAAATATCCTCCTCTCCCTTTCCCAACACACTATCCGTTTTTGTGCAACAGCCTCTAGTGCCATCTCGAGGTCTATGGACAGTAAGGGACATTGAGACCGGCGCACCACTGCTCCCCAGCCCACAACCCATCAAGTCTCCCATTCAGGTAGGCAGTTTTTCTTTTTTTTTCCTTGCTCTTCTTCATTCTTTTGTTAATATCATCTTCTTTCTTTTCCCCAGACTGTCCTTTTCTCTGCAACAGCTTGAAGTTCAAACTTCAGGTCTCTGGACAGATGGGACATTGAGGCAGGGGCAGCAGTGCCCCACCTCCTCACTTCTAGGATCCCTTGACCAAGACCCACATAGCCCCTCAATCAGGTAGAAAGTTTTTCTTTTTCTTTCTTTCTCTCTCTCTCTTTTTTTTTTTTGTCTTCTCCCTCCTTTTGTTAATACCCTCCTCTTCTTGCTTCATAGACTGTTTCTTTTTTTATGCTGCAGTCTCAAGTTGAATCTCCATACCGCTGAACAGTAAGGGACATTGAGACTGGGGCACCACTGCCCCCCAGGCTCATTTACAGTCTCTTCAGTTCATGACCCACCCAATATTTCATTCATATTAGCAGTATTTTGCTTTTTTTCCTTTGATTTTCTCCATTTCTTTTGTTAATACCTCCCTCTTTCTTTTTCCACAGACTGTCCTTTATTCTGCAGCAGCTTCCAGTTCCAAGTCCAGGCCTCTGGACAGTAAGGGACATTGAGTCAGGGGAAACACTGCACCAGGACTCACTTCCAGGCTCCCTAAACCCAAGACACACCCAGTCCCCCAGGCAGGTAGTCAGTTTTTTTCTCTCTCTCTCTTTTTTTTCACTCTTCTCCATTAATACTTTCTTATTCCTTTCCCCAAAGACTGTCCTTTTTTTGGCAGCAGCTTGAAGTTACATCTCCAGGCCTCTGGATAGTAAGGGACATTAAGACAGGGGCACCTCAATCCTTCTGTCTCAATTCCAGTTTCTCCAGCCCAAGACTCAACCAGTCTTGTGGTCAGGTTGGCACTTTTTCTCTTTTTTCCTTTGCCCTACTCCATTCTTTTGTAAATACTATCCTCTTCCTTTCCCCACAGATTGTCTTTTTTTTAAGCAACAGCCTCAAGTTCTATTTCCAGGTCTCTGCAAAGTAAAAGACATTGAGACAGAGATAGCACTGTCTCCTCCACCTCTATTCCAGGTTCCTCAGCCCAAGACTCACACTAGCTACCCAGTTAGGTAGGTAGTTTTACTCTTTTTATTCTTTGCTTTTCTCCATTCTTTTGTTATTACCCTCCTCTTTTCCCACAGACTGTACTTTTTTCTGCAGCAGCTTAAAGTTCCATCTCCTGGCCTCTGGAAAGTACAGAATATTGAGTCAGGTGCACAAGTTTCCCACCCTCACTTTCAGGCTCCCTAGGCCAAGAACCACCCAAACCACAGTCAGGTAGGCAGTTTTTTTCCTTTTTACTTTGGTCTTCTCCCATCTTTTGTTAATACCTTCCTTTTCCTTTCTCCACAGACTGTCCTTTTTTGTGTAGCAGCATCCAGTTCCATCTCCAGGTCTCTGGCCAGTAAGGGACATTAAGGCAGAGGTACCATTACCCCCTAACCTTGCTTCCAGGCTCTTCAGCCCAAGACGTGATCACCCAATGTCCCATTCAGGTAGGCAGTTTTTTCTTTTTCTTTTTCTTTTTTTTTCCTTTGTTCTTCTACATTCTTTTGTTAATTCGGTTCCCTTCCTTTATACACAGACTCCTTTTTTTCTGCAGCAGCACTGAGTTCCATCTCTAGGCCTTTGGACAATAAGGGACATTGAGGCAAGGGCACCACTGTTGCCCCCCATCCCCCCTAATTTCAGGATCCCCAGACCAAGACTCACCAAGTTACCAAGTAAGTTAGGTAGCTTTTCTCTTTTTATTCATTGCTCTTCTTCATTCTTATGTTATTGACCTCCTCTTTATTTCCTCTCAAATTATCCTTTTTTATGCAGCAACTTGAAGTTCCAACTCCCGGCTTCTGGACAGTAAGGTATATTGAGGAAGGTGCATTACTTCCTTCCTGCCTCATTTCGAGGCTCCCTAGTCCAAGTCTCACCCAGGACTCCAGTCAGGCAGGCAGTATTTCTCTTTTTTATTCTTTGTTTTTCTCCTTTCTTTTGTTAATACCCTCCTCTTCCTTTCCCCACAGAGTGTCCTTTTTTCCACAGCAACCTCCAGTTCCATCTCAAGCCTTTGGACAGTAAGGGACATTGAGGCAGCACCACTACTTCCTCTCCAGACTCACATACAGGCTTCTTAGCCCAAGATTTACCAGGTCTCCAAGTCAGGTAGCCAGTTTTTCTGTTATTTTCTTTGCTCTTTTCTGTTCTTTTGTTAATACACTCCTCTTCCTTTCTGCACAGAATGTCCTTTTCTCTGTATCAGCCTCCAATTCTATCTCCAGGCCTCTTAACAGTTAGGGACATTGAGGCAGGGGTACTATCTACTACTATCTACTACTATCTCTCCAACTAACTTCAAGGCTCTCCAGCCCAAGACCCACCAAGTCCCCAACTCATTAGGCAGATTTTCTCTATTTTTCTTTGCTCTTCTCCATTCTTTAGAAAAAATCCATCTCTTTCTTACCCCCAGAAATTGTCCTTTTTTATGCAGCAGCCTCCAGTTCCATCTCCAGGATTCTTGACACTAAGGGACATAGAAATAGGGGCACCCTGCCCCCTCTGACTCAATTTCAGGCTTCCCATACCAGAACCTTCGTAGTCTGCCAGTCAGGTAGGTAGCTTTTCTCTTTTTTTCTTTGTTTTTCTCCATTCTGTTGTTATTACCCTCTGCTGTATTTCCCCAGAACTGTCCTTTTTTTCCTGCAGTAGCTTAGAGTTCCATCTCCAAGCCTCTGGACTGTAAGAGACATTGAGGCAGGGACACCACTGCTCCCCCCTCACTTCCAGACTCCCAAAGCCCATTACTCTAATCAGGTAGGCAGTCTTTCTCTTTTTTTTCTTTGCTCTTCTCCATTCTTTTGTTAATACTCTCCTTTTTCTTTCCTCTAGACTGTCCTCTTTTCTATATCAGCTCGAAGTTCCACCTCCAACCCTCTGGACACTATGGGACATTGCGCCAGGGACACCACTCCCCCTCCTCACTTCCAGTATCTCTAGACCAAGACCCACCAAGTTCCCCAATCAGGTAGGGAGTTTTTCTCTTTCATCTTTTCTCTCCTTTTGTTAATACCCTTCTCTTCCATTCCTCACAGACTGTTTCTATTTTTGTACTGCAGGCTCCAGTTTTATCTCCATGCCTCTGGACAGTAAGGGACATTGATGTAGGGGCACCACTGTTGCCTAGCCTCACTTCTAGACTCCCGAGCCCGGGACTCAACCAGTCTCCCATTCAGGTATGCAGTGTTTCTCTTCTTCTTTTTTTTCTTTTGCTCTTCTCCATTTTTTTTTTTGTTGTTGTTAATACTTTCCTGTTCTATAACACACAACCTGACCTCTTATTGCAGCTACCAGCAGTTCTACCTCCAGGCCTCTGGACTGTAAGGGACATTTATGCAGGGCACTACTGACACCCCACATCACATCCAGGCTACCCAGCAAAAGACTAACCCAGCCCCCCAGTCAGACTGTCCTTTTTTTTTTTTTTTTTTTGGAGAGCTGTAGGGCGCGTGTGCTCGCCAGACAGACAGAGAGAGACATAGAGACAGAAAGCGAGAAATCACCCCCCAGGGGGGATGGTCACGCTGCAATCCCTTCTCCTCCATTCTCCTCTCGGGATCTTGGGCACACACACACGCGCCCGACATGAGTTTTAAGTCACTGGGTCCGGGACACGAACTGCGGTCGACTACGTGGGAGTCCAGCGACATAGCCATTACGCTAACTTCTGGTTCCCCAGACTGTCCTTTTTTCGCAGCAGCCTCTAATTCCATCTCCAGACCTCTAGACAGTAAGGGACATTTAGGCAGATGCACACTGCTCCCCCTCCTCACTTTGAGGCTCCCCAGCTCAAGACCCTATCTGTCCCCCAGTCAGACAGGCTTTTTTTCTGCAGCAGCTTCCAGTTCCATCTCAACGTGTCATAACAGAGAGGGACATTGAGACAAGGGCGGCAGCAATGCCTTTCACTTCACTTCCTGAATCTCTAGCCCAGGACTCACCCAGTCTCAGAGCCAGGTAGGTAGCTTTTCTCTTTTTACTCTTTGCGCTTCTCCATTCTTTCGTTAATACCCTAGTCTTCCTTTACCCATAGACTGTCCATTTTTCTGCAGCTTAAGAGTTCCATCTTGAGGCCTCTGGACAGTATGGGACATTGACTCAGGGCAGCACAGTTCTTCCGCATCACTTTCTGACTCTGCAGCCCATTGTCAGACCTCTGGATAGTAACAACATTCAGTTCCATGTCCAGGCCTCTGGACTGTATGTGTAACACTGAGGCTGGAGCAACACTGCTCCCTGCCTCACTTCCAGGCTCCGCAGCCCAAGACCCACCCATTATACCAGTCAGGATAGCAACTTTTTTTTCTTTGCTCTTCTCCTTTCTTTAGTTAATACTCTCTGCTTTCTTTCCACAGAAAAACTCCAGTGCTATCTCCAGGCCTCTGGACAGTAAGATACATTGAGTCAGGGGCACCACCTCTTCCCTACCTGACATCCATGTTCCTCAGTTTAAGACCCACCAGGTCTGCCAGTCAGGTAGGTAGTTTTTCTCTTTTCTTTGCTCTTTTCCATTCTTTTCAAAATACCCTCCTCTTCATTTCTACATAGACTATCCTTTTTTCTGTAGCAACCTCCATTTCAATCTCCAGGCCTCTGGACAATAAGGTACATTGAGTCAGGGGCACCACATCTTCTCTACCTGATATCCATGCTCCTCAGTCTAAGACCCACCAGATCTGCCAGTCAGGTATGCAGTTTTTCCTCTCTTTTTTCTCTGCTCTTTTCCATTTTTTTTTTTAAATACCCGCCTCTTTATTTTCGTACAGATTTTCTTTTTTCTGTAGAAGCCTCCAGTTCAAATCTCCAGGCCTCTGGACAGTAAGGGATATTGAGGCAGGGGCCCTACTACCCTCCCACGTAACTTCGAGTCTTCCCAGGAAAAACCCAACCAGTTCCTCTGTCATGTTTGTAGTTTCTCTCTCTCTGTCTTTTTTGTTTGTTTGTTTTTGTTCTTCTCCATTATTTCTAAAATACCCACGTCTTTCTTTTCCCATAGGCTGTTTTTTTTTGTTTGTTTGTTTTTGTTTTTTTGTTTTTTTGTTTTTTTGTGCAACAGCCTCCAGATCCATCTTCAAGACTCTGGACATTAAAAGATATTGAAGCAGGGGCACCCCTGCCCCCTCTGTCTCAATTCCCAGTTCAAGATCCACCCACTCCCCCAGTCAGGTAGGTAGCTTTTCTCTTATTTTTCTTTGCTCTTCTCCATTCTTTTGTTATTACCCTCCTCTTTTATTTATTTATTTTTTTCAACAGACTATTCTTTTTTTCTGCAACAACTTGAAAATTTATCTCTAGACCTCTGGACAGTAATGTACATTGAGGCAGTGGCACACCTCCCCCACCAACTCACTTTCAGGTTCCCCAGCCCAAGATAAGGTAGGAAGTGAGGCTCCCCAGCACCAGTTCAGGTAGGCAGTTTTTCTTTTTATTTTCTTTGCTCTTCTGCAATAGTACGCTTCTCTTCCATAATCCACAAACTGTCTTCTTTTCTACAGCAGGCTCCAGTTCCATCTCAAGGCCTCTGTACAGGAAAAGACACTGAGGCAGGGGCATCACTGCCCTCCTGCCTCACTTCCAGACTCCCCATCCCAAGACCCACCCAATTACCCAGTCAGGTTGGCAGTTTTTCTCTTTTTCCTTTGTGCTTCTCATTCTTTTGTTAATTCCCCCCTCTTCCTTTCCCCACAGACTGTCCTTTTATTCTGCAGCAGCCTATTGTTCAATCTTCAGGCCTCTGGACTTTAAGGGACATTGAGGCAGGGGCACCACTGCCCACACCACCTAACTTCCAGGCTCCTCAACCCAAGACCCACTCAATCCCTTTGTCAGGTAGGTAGTTTTTCACTTTTTTTCATTGGTCTTCTCTATTCTTTTGTTAATACCTTCCATTTCTTTTTCCAAATTGTCTTTTTTGTACAGCAACCTCCAGTTCCATTTTCAGGCCTCTGGACAGTAAGAAACATTTAGATAGGGGCATCATTGCCCCCTTGTCTCACTTCCAGGCTTCTGAGACCAAGATCCACCCAATCACCCTGAGGAGTAGTCATTTTTGTTCATTTTTTAAAATTTATTTTATTTTTTTTCTTTTCTCCATTCTTTATGAATACTCTCCTGTTCCTTTCCCCACAGAATGTCTGTTTTTCTACAGCATCCTCCATGTCATATCCAGGCCTCTGGACAGTAAAGTACATTGAGAATCTCTTCCCCCACCTAACTTCCATGCACCCCAGCCAAAGACCCAACCAGTCCTCCAATCAGGTAGGCAGTTTTTCTCTTTTTTATCTGTGCTCTTCTCCTTTCTCTAGTTAATACCCCCTCATCCTTTCCTCACAGATAGTACTTTTTTTCTGCAGCAGCCTCCAATTCCACCTCCAGGCCTCTGGATCATAAGGGAAATTGAGGCAGGGTCACCTCTGCCCTTCCACCTTACTTTCAGGCTCCCCAGACCAAGACCTACCTAGTTCTTCTGTGTGGTAGCCAGTTTTTCACTTTTTAATTTTTTTATTTTCCATTCTTTTGTTAATACCCCCTTCTTACTAAATACACAGACTAACGTTTTTTTCTGCAGCAGCCTCCCGTTCCATCTCCAAGTCTCTGGACAGTAAGGGACATTGATGCAGAGGCACCACTGCCCCCTGCCCCACCTCATTCCAGTCTCCCAGCCCAGGACCCACACATTATACCAGTCAAGTAGGCAGTTTTTCTCTTTTTTGTCTTTTCTCTTCTCCTTAATTTTCTTAATACCCTCCTCTTCCTCTCCCTAGCGACTGTCCTTATTTCTACAGCAACCACCAGTTCCATCTTCAGGTCTCAGGAGAGTAATTGACATTGAAGCATGGACACCACTGCCCCCACCTCCCAGTTCACATCCATACTCCTCAGCCCAGAACCCACCCTGCTCCCCATTCAGGTAGGCAGTTTATCTCCTTTTTTCTGTTCTCTTCTTTTCTTTTCTTTTCTTCCCCTCATCTTCCTTTCTGCACAGGCTGTTCTATTTTCTCTAGAAGCCTCTAGTTTAATCTCCAGGCCACTGAAGAG